GACAGAAGACAAAGTGGTAAATTAAAACTTAGTAAAAATTAAAAGTAGACAAAAAGCAATAGTTGGTCTCAATAGTATGAGTTTAGTGGCAGCAGGAAAACCATTACTAGGCCTAATTCACAACTTCAGCTGTAAAACTAGAATAGCTGTGTTTGATTCAGTCAAGTTGATGTAAAAGATATGAACAAGCCCATAAACTCAGATTTCATTATTACACACAAATTATGTAAAAAATATTGAAAATTAAATGTGACTTCCATCACTCAAAGATCTAGTAAAGACAGAAGGCACATTAGAAATCAGGAAAAGGGACACAACATTCATCCCTTGGGAAAGAGCTGAGGTCCCTCATATGATCAGAACACATGTTCTTCTACTCAGACTTAGCAATAGAGTTCTCTAGCTGTTCAAATTGATTTGTTCCTTAGAAGATTCAATAAGAAAGTAAAATGAACTGGCCTTGCAAATAATTTAAATTATTAGTGGTGACAAACTCTGTAGACCAACTTTTGGTAATCACTGACACTGATCAGGTTGTTGGTTTCTTTCTTAATAGTCACTGAGTCAGGAACTAGAATGCTACTATACATTTTTTATACGTTTGGTGCAATGTCAGATTCCGGTAAAGCATAGAAGCAAGGTGTAGGGGGAGTCAGCACCAGCAGCCAAGTTACAGGTGGAGGACAGAATGGCCCTTTTCAGTGATTTACCACATTCTCATCAAGTATAACTGGTAGTGGAATTACAGCCCCAGGGAGCAGCGCAGAGGGAGATGTGAACTGGAAGTGGCAGAGATGTTTGAGCCTGACAGGGACCCTGGAACAGCCAGGCCTGAAAAAGGGCAGAGGGAACAGCCTCAACACAGCCCTATACTGAAGGCACTGCTTGCTGAACCTGTGGACAAATGCAGAGTTCCATGAAAAGCAGGGAACATTTTAGAGCAGATAGGCTGATGTTTCTTTGAAGTTCTGCTGGATGCTGAGCACACTTCAGTTACTCCTTGAGTTTAAATAAGGTAAACTTGACTGTGCAAAACAAATCAATGGTTTTGCTTGTGTCTCCCAGACTGAGAAGTGATTCTTCCTAAGGGAAGGGAAGTTTCATTCACTGCTGCAGCTCTCTGAGCAGTTAAATATGCATGTGGCCAAACTTGGTCCTTGTAAAACCCAATTGACTTCATTCAAAAAACTCCTATAAAGATGACTGATGTCATTGGAGTCCCACCAGGGATGAATTTGGCCCATGCCATTCCTCCTGTGTAGTCACTGAATAGGAATGTAGAGAAGAAAAGCATACTGGACTCTAGGACTCCATCTCTCAACAAAACTGCCAGAGCTGAAAAAGAATTACACGTGAATATAAATTTGTCATACACAATCCATTAGATCACCCAGATCAGCCCCTGCTTTCAGTTGCCCTCAGATGAATTGGAGTTTCTCCTTTCACTACTGTGGGTTGAGCAGGAGTTTCTACATGAGTGTGCCAAGTCTCCTGAGAGCAAAATCAGCAGTATTACCCCCAATTTGCAGATGAGGAAACCGAAACAGGGAGCCTAAGTTACTTCAGCTTACATGTGGTTACAGAGGTAGGAAAGGTATTGAAACTACTTATGGCTCCTCACCACTTAGGCCATGTATTGCTGTGATATATCTTTTATTTTCCGTCTCCTTTCCCCATCTCTCTTCTCCCCTGCCCCCAACCCCATCCACATTGTCTCTAGCCACACAACTGGGAAGCTGGGATTAATCCATCCCTAGGGAAACTGGGATTAATATACAACTCATGCGGAACCTTTAGAAACCCAATGATTTGTGGTCCCCTTTTCAGAGGCACATGCAATCCACAGCTGAAAAGTAACTATTTGCTGTTCCAGTGCACATTCTGAGAGAGGCTTTTGCTCTGTTTCATGAATGTACACTGAAGACCCCATCTGACAGGATTTCTTCCTGCATCTAACAAAAAAACAGGCTTAGTAGGCTGTGCAGAATCAGGCTCTTGCGGAGTACTAACAGTTTATGGGCAGAAAAAGAATGACTGGAATGCAAAGGGGGGGAAGAGAGCAAGAGATGTGCCAACACATCTTTATGTTTTCCTTCTGTAACTGGAAATGGTTAAAAAAAAAATGAATTAAAATTTTAAAATCTGTATTTCCCTTATAAATCTTGCAGGAAGGGGCAACTAGAGTCAGGTGCCCAGTTTTTTACTCTTGCAAACTCCCATTCTGTGGTGGTTTTATTAAGAAAATGCAAAATTTAAAGCAACTGTGAAAACAGAATCAGCTCTCAATTGGCAGACAGAGGCCTAAGTAATTTTTATTCACTGTATGAATGTCAAATTAAGACACATGCAAAGATAGAAAAGAAAAAGAAAGAGAAGGAAGACAAATAACAATTTAAATCGTGATCCTGATTCAAAAGACACATTTCCCATCTAATTCCTCTCATTTATTTTGGGGTTTTGTACAACTTATCTCTTCTGACTCATGATTTCATCTTTACTTTGCTTTCATTGGAATCGCTGAACTGGTACTACCTAGAAAATTTCAAAATGCTGGAGGGAAAAGGCGAACTGTTCCCTCATGCAGCTGGGAGCATGACCAGATAGATAGCCTTTGTTAGCACCAGGGTAAAAGTGGCCTTCTGGCAGGAGGAAATGCACACATATTTAAGTGTAGAACAAGTGACATTGAGAGGTTGTATGTGCACCCTGTGCTTGGCATGCCCATGTAGTTGTAATACATCTGTATTTCTAATTATGTCAGTTCTGGAGGTTTTCTTTTTCTTTTTAATTGCACATAAAAATGCAGGTCCCAAGAAATTCTTGGCAGTCAGATCACCAAGCTTCAGCTTTTCAAATGAAATGCTTTTCATGCCCAGCTGGGAGGAGTGGTTTCTCCACCTTTTCGACCCCGCAGCTCTAATGGTTCCCAGGAACCAGTTACTGACACGGTTTCTTACCTCGCCACGGGTGTTTCTGTTTCCCGGTGTTAAGGAGACGGTGGAGCGACCGTGGGAAAGCCTCGGCGGAGTGACCCGAGTCCCTTCCTCCCTTCCTGTGGACCCGACTCGGGTTTCTGCCTCGTAGTTACGACCCCTGAAAACCTGGTGCCGAGCGACAGTGCCCTTTACTTTTTCTCTCGGCGACAGGATCCCGAGTACATCCTTGTTCCCTTACTAGGTGCCAGGAGCGACACAAGAGGGACGGGGAAGTCCGTCGGGGATTTTCTCTCTGATTCTCTGTTTAGAAGGGCAGGGAGGAGGATGAACCACCCAGAATTCAGACTGCCCCTCAACGCCGTGTCAATGCTCGGGGCTGCTGGTCCGCCCTCGGCGCGGCACGGGATGCGGTGCCCCTGGCCGGGCAGCGGGGCACGCCGGGGGCGGCTGGCGTGTCCCACGGCAGCTCCGGGCAGCGACCCACGCCGGGGAAAGGCGGCGGCTCCTGCGGGGTTTGTGCAAGGCAATCCCACTAAACCCCCACGGAGGACCAGGGTGAGGCGCGGGAGGCGACACCTTCAAATTGCCTCCGAGAAAAGCTGCCGAGCAAACATCCCGGCCCGGCCCGGCCGCGCGGAGCCAGCGCCGCGGCTGCTCCTCGGCTGCTCCGCGCTCCGCCGCGCTCCGCCGCGCTCCGCGCAGGAGATGCCGGCGGAGCGGCGCGCAGGGCTCCGCGCTCGTCCCGCCTCCTCCCGCGCAGGGCCAGCCCCGGCTGCCCGCAGCTTCCTGCGGGCTGCACCCCGCACCCCGCACTTGCTGCTTTTCAGATGCCAAAACCTAAAGTCTTCTCGCGGCGTGAGATGCGAGTGGTGGGTGGGCAGCAAAGCCGAAGCAAAGCCGAAGCAAAGCCGGCTTCAAACCCTGCCCGTGCTCCCAGCCCCCGGAGCTGGATGCAGGCACACGCAGCACTTCGCATCCCGAGCTCCCCGAGGGCCTTCCCACGCTGGAGGTGGGTCCGCAGCCCGTTCTGCAAGTGCCTTTTCATTAGTTACGGTGCGCTGAAATGGGAGTCCAATAAATAAGAGGGGGAGAGAGGTTTCTCCCCCCTCCACTTACGCTAAATGAGTTAGAACCGCACACTTTTTCCTGTCCTTGATGGGATTCTTTGACCAAATAAAGAAATAATTACTAAAAGCGGCAGGGGGAAGGTGAAAGGAGCCGCGCTGGAGCGAGCGGCTGGCGCTGGTGAGTATCCCCGCTCCGGCCGAGCATCCGCGCCGCGGCCGCGCAGGAGCCGCTGGGCAGCTCCGAGGTCACCTCTGCCGCATCGCTAATTTGCAAAAAAAAAGAGGCTTCTCTTATCGCGGGGGCACTGACTTGTGACGGGAGGAGGAAGGTTTAGGGTTTGCCGAGAGGACGAGAAAGGACGGCGGCAAGAAGCGCTTCAAAGGCTCAAGCGGATGCCCCAGCGCTGCGCTCTCTCCCCCGTCTCGACCCAAAGAGGTTTCGCAGTGGAATAAACATCTCTGATCTAAGACAGCTGCCGGGAATCAAAGGCCGCCCCAATCAGCGCGGAACGGGCCGAAGATGTGACTGAAAAATGCCTGTTCCTGACAAACGCGGGAATGGGGGTGCGAAGGCGTCTCTCCCCGCCGCGCCTCCAGGCACCGAGAACAGCAACAGCTCACCCATTACTCATCTGATTTGTTTTATAACGCTTCTGACACCTAATCTTATCAGCTAATACCCACGATTTAGTTACCCAAGACGATTTTTTTTTCCTCACTAGCGGCAAATTTATTGTTTGGACTATCCGCAGATGTTTACTTTTGTCAGCTTCACCAAAAAAAAAAAAAAAAAAAATTAAAAGGGGAAAAGCTAATGCTCAATAAAAAGATCCTGACTTTCGAGTTTCGAGGGCTGGTAGAACAGTAGAAACAACCATAAATAAAATAAGAACTTAACTAAGGAAAAAAGAGAAAATCAAAAAATAAGTAGATTCTGAATATTGACAAAGAGGGAAAAGATCAGAAACAAAATCAACACATAGGTATTCCATGCAGATTTGCCTGTAAAATAACAATTTATTTTAATACTTAAAAACCACACACAATCCAGTGATAAATGTCAATTACCAATAATCAGCATAAAGTGCCAAACAGCCATACAACTTTTTTTTTTTTTTAATAAACAGAACTTATTGGAATGTCTCTTAATTTGAATACACTGTTCAGAAAGCCAGCATTTAAAAAAATACGCTCTCAAGTTGAGATTTGTTCTTTCACACCAGGACATACGAAGACTTTTAGTACCACTAAAACCACGTTGTGCATACCGTCAGTTTGACGTATTGCCATCTTTCTTTCCTCTGGGTTTTTAAATAAGTCCAGAAGTTACAAACTTCCTCACAGCACACTAGACCACAAGGTAATAAAAAAGTTCTCCATGTCCCATGAACACTGATCTGTCCCAACACCAGGAACCTGTGGGTCTGAGATCTGGATGCATTTTCTAACACATGATAGGACTCTCCACTTGAGAGACTTAGGTCATTTCCAAACATTAATTTTCTTCTCCTTTTCTGAAAACAAACCAGCAAATGAGATTTGCAAGTTGCCCCTCTCCTTGTCTCAATGGTGCTGTGATGAGAAACCATCTTTTCAGTTCTTAATTGTCTTCTGGAATTTTTTGTATTTCCTGAAGTGTAAAAATAAGAAGCTTTATACAGTCAAAAAAAAAAAAAGTATAAAATAAGAGTTTGGATTTTCTTAAGTAATACTTTTAGAAGCTACGATTTTGGTTTGTTTTTTGGGGTTTTTTTTGGGTGGGGGCAGGGTTGGTCGGGGGTGTCTTGTGGGTTTTTGTTTGGTTTTAAAGAGATTCCTGTCCAACACGTGAGCACCACCTTTTGGCATAAAGTTTATCAAAGCCACACAAGTCATCTAGCGCTCTCTGTATCATTCACATATATTTTAAATTCAAAATAATCTTTTTGCCCACGACTTAGAAAGTTAATTGCTTGGACAGGGGATTGAAGGGGCACAGATTTTGCCCTTTTTAAAGTAGAAACAAAAACAAAGCACAAAGTCCAGTGCTCCCATCCTGAAAGTTTTGTTTCTGCTCTAGTTTTGGTGTAAAGTCTGAAAGGGAGGAAAAGTTCACAGAAGTTGGAGATTCAACACTTAAGTTTGGCGGGTTTCAGTTCCTTTACTTGCGTGTGCAGTGTCTTGTGGACTGCTAGTGTTCTGGACTGGCAAAATCCTTTCCCGCATTCTTGACACTTAAAAGGCTTTTCTTTAGAATGGATATATCTAGAGAGAGAAAAACAATTGACATGTCAGAAATAACTGGCCTAAACTCAGCAGCAAGCCACCTGAGGGAGAATAGGCTGGACATTTCTTACATCTACTGCTGAGATTGGGAGTGCTGGCGTGCAGTTCTTGGGCAATTGTCAGTATGTATGTGTGCAAGAGAGGGGGGCATCAGAGGATTATGGGGTGCCTTTCTTAGGGGTAAAGAACTTCTCTTTTACTTTGGGGTCACCAGACTGTGTGTCTTCATGACCCTTCTGAGTGATCATAGAGGCAGAGGGCACATGATGCAAAGAGAGAGTGAAAACATCTGTAGAAGTAAAAAGGAGGTTGTGAAAGCAGTTTTTATGGAGTGCATGAGGTATGCCTTCCACTGAGAGTTACCTGGGCTCTTCCACCAACAGTGGGCAGAGGAAAAACTAGAGGGAACACTCTCGGTTGGATGAGTACTTAACCTTTCTTATAAAAATCTTGAGTGTAGATTTGTAACTGGGAGAGTACAAATATACAAGGGAAAAAGGACAGGAAAAGATAAATAGTTACCTGTGATCCCTCAGGTGATCCTGTCTTCTGAAAGCCTTGTGACAAATATCACATGTGTAGGGCCGTTCGTCGGTGTGGGTTCTTTCATGGATCAGAAGGTTGTAGGACTTGGTGAAGTGCCTGCCACAGAATTTACACACAAACTCCTTCTTGGTTTTGGACGGTAACCTTCCCCGTGTGGGTTTCTTTTCTGGAGAGAGTTTAGTCACCTCAAGCAAAGACCCCAGCCCTGCAGGTGAGCCCTGACTGTCTGCCTGTCCCAGTTTAGAGTGGTCCTCTTGTGTGGCAGCCACTGCTAAGTTGGCAAAGTCAAAGCGGGGTTTGGCTTTGAGGGTCATGTTGGCGGCCTCTTGCTTGGGCTGGATGACATGTGGGAAGAGTGGGAAGGTCGGCAGCTGGAAGCGCGCATCCACCAGGCTGGAGACGCTGGGGACTTTGGAGAAGGAGGAGCGGGGCAGGTGCATGGCCGGGTAGCCCAGAGTCCACTGGTGCAAGTGCACGGCGTGCAGGGCGCTGAAGCCATAGAGGTTGGAGAGGTGGTCAGAGGGCACGGCGGGCAGCCCGTTGAATGCTTGCAGGAAGGAGTAGTTGGTAAGCTGGAGGGAAGGATGGATAGGCACCGGGGCCGGCAGGGTTTTACTTCCCATGGTGGCCGCTCAGGAGGAGGATCTTCGGAGCAGGGGAGGAAAATAGCTGGAAAATAAAGATGGAGGGGGGGGGAGAGGCAGAGGTAGATTTACATTAAAATAAAATAACTTTACCTCACCCCTCACCAATATCCCTCTCCAAAGCCACAGGAGGACATTGCCTCGGAATTAGAGAGGCCTCAACAGGTCTTTGCTGTGAGTGTTTGCCCAGAGTCTCCCTCTCCCCATCTCTTTCTTGCACACAAATGTTGTATTGCATCCACAATCATTCACTTCCCAGCAGCATCCCCTGCTGTGCAGATTTCCAACGATCTTGTGCACAGGGAGAGCTGAGATGCTATTTTTGGCCCAAAAAGCTTAGTCATCTCCCAGTAATTTAAAACCCCTTCCTGGGTGACCTCAGCCTTTAGAAAATAGTGAGATACTGCCCACTACATCTGTTCAGAGAAACTGCGTTTAGCCCTGACACGGGGAAGGGTGCAGAGCTCAGGTCCCTATGGTCTGGCCTCAGCCATGCCTCTGAGATGATGGAGGCACTTGGATGCTCAGAACTGGATGTTCTCCCTCTTTCAGAAAAATAAAATAGTTTTGGTGAAAAAAACATTACGGGGAAAATACCTGCCAAAATCCTTCCTCTTGTGTACTGCAAAAAGAAATAGAAAAATGATGAATTTGGGTGACAAACTTGAAGTGCCATTTGCTGTTCCCAGGGAGAAGTGCCTGGCTTCAAGCCCACATCCTAATCTAAGCAATTGCTTAATTAGAGCCCTTCAAAAGGCTAAAAGACGAGGACTGGTGAGATCCTTCCCATGGGGCACCCAGACCAGCAGCTGCAGGGCCTCAGCCCTTCCCTGGGCTGGGTGCCACCACTTTGGTCTGTGTTTCAGGGTCCTGCCAAGCCCCTATCCTCTCTTCTGGGCCAGATCCCGACCCATCCACCCCACAAGATGGAGGGGAAAATGCTACAAGGCAGCAGCATTGAGGCATATCTGTCCCCGTCTGAAAATCCAGCCCTCCCTAGCTGCAACCATTTGGCAGGAGACGCCTCCTGAGGGTTATTGGTGGGGATACAGCTTCCTCCCTTTGTGGGTGTTAGAGAGCACCCATGGCTTTTGGAAGCATCACAGCCCTGCAGCCCAGAGAGCCTCATCCTTACTCCACAGTCCTCAACCTACACTCACTTTCCCCTCCGTGAACTCTGGGATCTGCTTTCAGTGGAGTTATTTTCTGCCAGAATCCCCACATATTTGCTGCAGTATTCCCACAGGATCCACGCAGGGTCTTTAAAAGATCCTGACAGGGTTCCTGCTGAGCCACAGCAGGTTCCCCCACAAGATCCTCACAGGGAACTCCAGCAGGGTCCTCACAGTATTCAGATTAGAGTTCACCCCCATGTGAAGAGTAAAGCCCCTCTGGAGAAACGGAGGCAGCAAAGTACAGCAGAGCAGTAATTGTCCCTCTGAGCTGGATGTCTGGGGGTGTGGAAACTGGTGATGGAAGAGGTCTAAAGACCAGGGAAACAAATCTGATTTATACGTGTGCTGTTGCCTGGAAAAAGGAGCTGCAGTTGGGAGGGTGTGAGAGGGAGAAGCTTACTCTGAGCAGCTCTATACTCCAGGCCCACCTTTCACTCTGCTTTACATAAATCAGCAGCAGGAAGAGAGACTCAAACCTTAGAGGAATTCCACTGCAATGACCCAGAATAAGAGATTGTGACATTTTTTGGTTTTCAATTGGATAAATTTCTGATAGTGGCTGACTGAAAAATTATATTCTATATTCTCTATCTCTCTATTCACCACCCTTTCTTTTTTTTTTTTTTTTCCCTAGTCTATTTAGGGCTGTTGAACCAACCAGACCATTTTGTTGCTCTACTGGAGATATACTTTTATTTAGTTACTGCTGCGTATACACTAAGCATGTCCACATCACAGCACAAATGCCTCAGCTGATGACCCCAAGGACAAAGTGCACAGAAAATACTTTTGTCCTCTCATCCAGGTACCTGAAAATGTCTGTTTCTGTCTGTCACAATGGCTCCGTGTCCATTTCACTGTCTAGGTAGCTCTAGATCTCTTAAACATGAAACAGGCTACTGCAAATGAAGTTTATCCCTCTTTCTTTCTTTGTATTCTTAGAAAACACTTAATATGGAATATATAAGCAGAAATCTACTATGTCAAATGGATAAATTCTCTCTTAAAAACATTTTAAAAATTCTCTTTCGATTTTCCCAATGATGAACAAGGTAAAAACCAAGGAGAAATGCAGTCATGTCAGAATAGCATGCATTGCACCCACAGTTTGTTTGGTTTTTGCTAGAGCAGCTCTGTCAAATTAAAAAAAAAAATCCTAAAAAGGATGAAAAAGCAAAAGACAACAAAGGAAATTAAAACAGAGAGAGGAGAAGAAAATAAGAAGAAAAAAATAGTTGGGAGCAAACGGTTCATGTTGCTACAAGTTTTTTGGCACTTTTCCAGAAATGTAAGCTACACTTTTGCTCTGTACGACCGGGATAGTCAAAAATATGGATGAAGAGCAGGCTATTTCATAAAGAAGTCCCCTCATTTCGGGACATCAAAGCGAATGTGTTTCACAGTGTAGTAGCTCTCTGGTCTCCCACTTGCCCGCAGAGAGATCAACGTTTCTTTGATTTCGGTGTCACCTCCACCTTTAATTCTGCTTCATGTAAACAGATCGTTATCGGGTCTTTTTTTTTTTTTTTTTTTTTTTTTTACAAAGAAGACCCCGCGAGTTGTATGCTTGAATCCCTCATTGCAATAAAACTGTACAGGTTTTTCTTTTTTAACACAAAGTAGCTCAGTGAGTAATTAAGAACAAAACACTTGTGTTCTAACTGAAACAAAACCCACTCATGCCAAGATAAATCTACCCTGCAAAATAGGATCATAAACTTGAAAGTCTACATCTGTCTCCAGCTTTCTTACCCTTTGCCCTGAGCGAAGATACGGTAATGCTATTGTCCAGTTGCCACTGTTTTAAGACCATTTCAATCTTAAACTTCCAGATTAACTTCTACCTACTCTATATTCCAGAAAAAAAAAAAAAAAAAAATAATCTACCCGGTTTTCTGCTGGTAGCATTGCAAGAGGCGAAATTAAATGGATTTTTAAGTAATCTTGTGGCTAGTCGGTATTTTTCCTTTCTACTTTGAATTATCAATTTCCGATGTATCCTTTGAAAGGGATATTTGTTACATTAAATACCTGAGTCATAAATAATGAGGTTTGCTAATTAGTTCCACATGGAAGGACGGAGGAGGTAAATTACCCTGAGAACGTTGCTTATTTTTACAAACATGATAAAGTACCGGGCATAAAATGATGCATTCTTGTGAGAACCTCCAACTACAGCAATCAGGTTCTGTTAAAAAAATGTTCCTCAGTTTTGCCTGAATTTTTTCAAGTCTGGTAGCCCTGTCCTTTCGGCTACAGCATTTCGGTCTGCAGCATTTTGCCACCAGGTCGGCTATTTATTTTGTCTCCTTTGAGAGGAAGAAAATTTCTCTTCCTAAAGTTAGAGCGAAGAAATGGAGCTTGTAAGTTATCTGTGTGTGGGAAACTAAGTGGAAAGGGAATAAAACTGCCCTTCTGCTCCGCATTTTTCGAGCGTGGTGCTCTTGAGGAATAAAATGCGTTGTTCATCACAGATTTATTCAAAATATTAATGAAGTGTGCAGAATCTATTAAAGCAGGTTTATTTGGGGCTAAGTGAGCGTGAAAGAGTTAATTACTAACATTAATGAGGACTGGAAGGACTCAGTCAGCGTGTGCCTTGGATATCTCTGCTCAATCCTTATAAAATCATCATTCACATTTTATCACGAAATCGGTGTTGACAAGTCTCCCCAGACCACCACTGCGAGCGCGGGTGACTGAGATGGGCTTTAGTTTCTCAAATAATAATAATGAAGAATAAGCGAGGCCAGGCGCACCGGCGATGGCTCCAGCCCGGGCAGCCTCTGTCCCAAGCAGGGAAGGTCCCTGGAGGGAGCGCGGCCCCGAGCCCACGGCGGCCGCGGGTGGGCGCCGCGGGACGGCCGCAGGGACGAGCTGCTCCACCTTCCCCCCGCACAAGTTCTTAGGTGGGCTTGGGGGTATTGTGTGCGTGCTTTTGCAATCCCCTCGGGTGTTGAAGGGTCCCCAGCACAGCATTCGCCTTCGCTTTCTCCCTAGAGAAATACCCGGTGCCTCCCCTGCACAGGAATAAGTCGTCCTTCCTCTCTCCCGGCCGCGGGGAGGATTTCTTGCCTCTGTACTCCTCTCTCCCCATGGCCACAGCACGCACAGCCCGGGCAGGGGCCAGGCTTTGCGGTGACAGCCCCGGGGGCAGCCAGGGCACGGCGGAGCATCCCCGAGCCCGGCCGCCCGCAGCGGGACTCACGGCGGAGCTGCAGCCCCGGGGCTCCGGGCCCGGCGCTGCCCTTGAGGTCGGGCCTCTTTCTCAGCCGACTTCGGATTTACTGAACTGGACCTACTGTGCACCTGTCTGGGACCCTCCTGCCTGGCTCGCGATTTATCGAACAATTCCTGCGGCGCTACAATAATCTCCAAAATGCTCTATTTTTATAGTTCCCCTGCCAAAAGCCAACTATAACAACCGTACTCTAATCCTCGGCTTTGCACTGACACTTTATAGGCTCGGCCTCAAGAGAAGCTTAGTCTCTCCTGCGCTGAACTTGTTTCGATCCACTCAGACAAATATAAACATCAGGCTCATTCCTGTTATGGCCTTGGGAAGTAAGAGACAAGGCTTTTCAGATCCTAAAACACTGGAGTTGTAAGGAAAAGGAAAAAAAAAAAAGGAAAGAAGAAACCTCTCAGAAATAAAGAAAGAAGAGAAAGAAGACGAAAGAAAAGCCAATAATAGAAAGGAGAAAAGCTGGAAGTTCAAGGCCGTAAAGGACATGCAGGCTTCTGTTTTGCTCGTATGTGTCATTTTTAGCTCGGGTTTGAAGCACTGTTTCTCCGCAAGGGGGGAGACACAACTTTGAAAGGGGAGGACAAATCTTTAAATAGCATCAAAATATCCGAGACCCATGTGAAGGCTTACCCCAGCCCTCCGCCCACCCCAAAGAGAACAGTCCTTCTCACATGAACCACAATATCCACGCTTCTGCACCATCCAGCGGATCGTGGGAGGGGATGGGGGCAAAGAAAGAAAGGAGGTAGAGTAAAGGAAGTGTATCCCCAACCCCCGAGGCTTGGCAAAACAAAACCAAACAAAATTAGTTGTTCTTTTTATTTACCTAATCCCGATCTGCGCTCCACCGCTGGCAGCAGTTAAAAGATCCTGGGCTAAATTGGAGCTGGTAAAATAAAATAAAGGAAAAAAAATATAGGGGAAAAAATTAAAAAAAAAAAAAAAAGAAAAAGAAAAAAGGAGGTTGGGCTAGGTCAGTGTCTGTGCTGGCCCTGGGGGCACAGCTCACCCCACCCACCCCACTGCTCCTCCAGCGGGTACAGGCAGATCCGAGCGGGGCCAGGTGTCCAGGTGCTCCGGCCGGCGCGGCCGGAGGCGCTCTCCCCGCTCCTGCTCCCGGAGCCGGCTGCGTGCGCTGGAGTGCGAACGCGCCCGGGAGCAGTCGCGCTCAGACTGAACCGATCCCTTCCCTCCTGCCTCCTCCTTATTTCAACCCCCCCTCCCAGCTCCCCCCTCAACCTCCCACCGCACTCCGGGCATGCGCACGCAGGGAGAAAGTTTCTGGCTGGGAAGAACCAACTTTTCAACCCGCTTCTCCGGGAGGCACAGCAGCCCGGGGCTCGCAGCCCTCAAGCCTCTCGTCTCTGCCCCCCCTCCCCGCTCCCGCAGCCTCCCCCGGGGCATCTCCCCAGGGCCCGCAGCGCTCGGCCGCCCGGCGGAGCCTCCTCCCGGGGGCGCGGGGGTTCCCCGCGCAGCTCCGCGGCTTCGGGACGCGCCCCCGGCGCCGCTGCCTGCGCCGATCCGGCCCCGCCGCTCCGTTCTGCACCTCAGGGCTGCGAACCGCGCCGAGCCGCGCCGAGCCGCGCCGAGCCCACCGCTCCCGGCCGAGCCCACCGCTCCCGGCCGAGCCCACCGCTCCCGGCCGCCGCGCTGCGCCCCCTCCCCGCCGAGCAGCGCCGCGGGACGGGACTCACCGGGACCTGCCCAGAGGGCGGGAGGGGGACAAAGGCAGAAAGGATGAAAAAGTGGGGGGAGGATGGAGGGAGGGATCTGCTCCCGCTGGATGGATTTAGGGATCGCAAGTTGTTCTGCCTCTCTGAGAAGAGCCTCAGAGAGGATTCCGGGAGCCGCTTACCTGTGAGGGTCCACCCCCGGGAGGACGCTTCCTCCGCCCGTCCCACCATCCCTCCGGATCTCCACTTTCCGCCCCAGCGCCCCTGACCTGGGAGCCTTCCTCCTGTCCTTCCTCCCACGGGCCGGGAGGGTCTCTCCCCGCGCCCCGGAGGGGTTCCACGGCGTGAGAAACTCCGCGCGTTCCCCGTGCATAGGGAGCCGCAAAGCTTTGCTTACGTCCGGGGACGACTGCCCGGGCGACACAGGAAAAGCAAAATAACCCTCGAAAGAAAAAGGTTAAACGTGCTTTATAATTAATCCTGAGGCCGTAATCTCCTCGGTTATTTGTTTTTCTATTCATCCATCCATTCACACTTCTTTAGATCCGGGAAGGGGAGAAAATTGCTTGGGTATATTACATTGTCCCGAGAAGCCAGGGTAATATAATACGCGAGCGAAGACAGATCCGTCAGGATAACACGGTACCGTGCTCAGGGACACGCATGTGTCTTTTTATTGTTCATGACACTCCTGTTATTACACCTTTTTTTTTTTTTTTTTTTTTTACCATTTCCGAGGAAAAACAAGCAAACAAATAAAACAACAACAACAAAAAAAAAACCAGCAACAAGAAAACACTACGTTATCATCCTGCAGAATAAGTGTTCATGAACATGACAGTATGGTGGCGAAGCAAACCTAGCCCTGGTGTTTCAATCCCAAATCCCCTCTATTTTTATGGACAATTTGGGGTCCAACATTGCACTCTGCTCCAGGCAGGCGAAGAAATTTTCGTTCCCTTTTATTGTAAACGAGTGGCATTTTTAAGAGGCAGAGGCGAAGCAAAGACATTCCCAGTTCTTCTTCAGTTCTCTCGCGTTTCTTGTTGTTATTTTCTCTCTTTCTTTATGATAACACTCACCCCCCCCCCAAAAAAAAAAACAAAAAACAAAAAAAAAAAAAACCACAACAACACATAAACATCCCCTCGGACAAGCAAAAAAAAAAAAAAAAAAAAAAGTTAAAAAATAAAGGCTAAAAGGGAAAACCCTCAAAACCCAAACCCCTAAACCTCATATTTTCATTCCTGTCGAGAATGTGATCCTGTGCCCGGTGCTGCAAGCTGACTTCTTTGAATAAGTTTGCATTTTCAAATACAGTTTAAATCCAGTTGTCTGAATAGGAATGTAAGATTCCCAAGTGTTCCCAGACCAAGATATAGACCGCAGATAGGCTCTTCTAACAGGAGATGTATCTTTTCCCATAGGAAAAAATCTTGTTATAGCTGAGCGTGGGTGCGTGCACTAATAAAACAAAAATCGCAATTCTCTTTAGAGAAATAGCGGATTAGCTGAGACGGTAAACACAAAACTAGCTACTATACCTGCACGTGCTGCCTTTGAGGGAAAAAAAACCAAACCATGCACTTCCAGGTACAATCCCCATCATTCTGAAATAAATACTTCGACATCGAAATGCGTGGCAGTAAATGATCTCATTGTCTACGGGAGAGTGAGACACACAAAAAAATTATTCCCACGCGAAAGTAGTTTATAATCAAAGCAGATCGTTGACAAATCATTCTATTCTAGAGTATTCCTGGAAGCTGTAGCTGAAAGCTGCCTGGATAATGTGTCGTCTGATATTTACGTATTTGTTAAAAAATAAAAATATTTGGACTTGTCAAGCCACTGGCGATAGAACTGAAGTTTCAGGTTAACTGTCTTGTTAAGTGCATTTATTTTAAATATCTGGCGTTTAAGTTACAAAGCGTATGTTGTTCCAAAACCTTTATTCTCGAATGGATTTTTATGATGTCCCTTGCTAATTTGCATTATGTCAACTTGCAGCGGTGGGGAACCTAATACGGGGAACGGGGAACAAAACCACTCTGACATGCAGGGAATATGCTGTGCTTTTCCACAGCGAAGATCTGCTGTCGATTAGGAATGTTACGACTTCAAGAGAATTGTGAAAAGTGAAGGCATCTGCTCCCAAAGCTAGCCACGTTTGTAAGATTTAGACGTGACAGCGAAACCCAATTCGTTGCAATAGAAATCTACGGGATGACTAGGGAGACCCATTCCTATTTCCCACCTGTATCCCCTTCCCAAAATCATCCCCGTCCCTATCCTGTCCCACGTATCTGCAAGTCAAGGGCCCCCAGTTCTATGCCCCGCATTTTCGGGGAGCAGCAGTGCCCCCCATTTCCGAGGACCCAGCACACCGGGGCTGCCGCTCCGCTGCGCTCCCGCAGCGCCGGAGCCGCCGTCGGGCGCTGCCGCCTCGCTCGGCGCCGTCGGTGCCGGCGCTGGTGCCCGAACCGGGGGGAGCGGCTTAGTGACCCTTGCCGAGCAGACTCGGGGGGCACGGGGAGAACATCTGAGGGCATTTCCCCGTCGCTCCCGTGGGGAGCCTGTTGCTCTTGTCACCTCCCCTCTAACGAGTTCTGGGTTCAAGGGCTGGCCCCGCGCACTGCGGGCACTGGGGATCGCGCCTCCTCTGGCTCACGCTCCTCTGGATGCCGGTCATCCCTGGATGCACCTACACGCGTGCTGGGAGAGGGTTACACAGCCTGACCGATGTTCCTCTTCCCTGCTGCAGCTGGAATACCCAATTTCACCCACTTTAGTCTTTGCAAGAAAAACGATTCCCGGCCCCACTCCATAGCCGGGGTTAGGATAAAACCTCCCTTTGCTTCCGTGCGACTTTCTGCCCACCGGGGAACTGCGCTTGTCCCTTAAAATTCTTTTACTGAGAGGAAACAACTGCTACTCGCGAAGCATCATCCGCCGCTGGGGCTGGGGGGAGCAGCGGCTCCGGCGGAGCAGGGGGAGGTTCGTGTGCTCGGCGGGTCCAGGGGCTCCATCGCCCCCGGGGTCTGGCGAACACAGAGGCGGTGGGTGGGGGATGGCTGGGCAAAGCCGCCTCCGCTCGGCAGCCCTGCAGCTCCCGCCACTCCCGGCAAAGGAAGCGGGAGCAGGACTGAGCAGCCGGCGGCGCTCGGCGGAGGCTCCGGAGCTTCACCGGGAGGATGGAGCAGCCCCGGCGGCAGACACGCAGGGGAGAGCAGGCACAAGTGCACTCAGCGTTCCCCTCCCTGTCCTCACGCCTCCCCGGGCAAGGTGTAACGCCCCGTTATCTGTGGCACCCGGGATACATATATATACATATGTATGGGTATATATGAATTCTGCTTTTCTTCGCTTTGCCTGGTTTCTCCTCTTCCTTCGATTTTGCTGATGCTTGCGGTGAAGGACTAGATTGTGTGGACTCTGCCCTCCCGGGATCGGCCCGGACTGAGACGAAAAGGGAGTCAGAAAGGGGCAGGGAAGGCCACGGGCTCTCGGGGACCGAGCGCGGAGCGTGGCCGGGAACTGCGGGTGGCGGCGGGCGCCGGGCAGGGCCCGGAGGCAGCGCGGGCGCTCCCGCACCGCCTTTCCCAAACTGATCCCCTGCTCCCTCCCGACCACAGTTCGCTCCTCAGGTTCCTTGTAGCCTTAGTATTTTAATAGCTGCTAATGACAAGAAAGGGAAGAATAGCGGCAAACAACGCGGGTGGAAGCTGCTCCCGCGGTGCGAGTAAACGCTCTTCAAGTAGCAACTCCCGCCTCCATCCCTCAAAAACAAAATCGGTGCAGAGATGGATATAAGGCGTTTCTGCCAACTTCGGAGTTTTTTGGGTTTTTTCAAACTTCTAGGGCTCACTGAAAATAAAAGCCAAACTTTGGAACATCTCAATTTTGTTAACAAAGGAGAAATCGTTCTTGCTTGATTGCGATGCTGGGATGTAACCCGGCGCTTTAATGTATTACCGCCCTTCTCTAGGGAGTTACTGCGGCGAGGGAGCGATCCGCGGGCGCGCAAGTCCCGGTTGGCCCCCCCGCGCCCCGCGCAGCCGGCGGGGACAGCCCTCTGCCAGCAACTTCTGCGGAGTAGGAAAGAAAACCCAGAGCACGGAATGGAGCGATAGGGGATTTGCCTTCTTCAAGAATCACAATGGATTTTGCAAGCAACTAATTAAGCGCAAGATCTCCCCCCACTACCAGTCCCCCGCCCCACGCACCCCTTGTTTGCAAAGCGGTGTGAAGTCGGTTGTGTAAATGATTCCACTTTAACTTCCAGCCCCTTTAGATCACTAATAATGCCGTGGTGGTGCTGCTCACATTGGTGCAGTGAGAGTCAGCATTTCCATTATAATTTCCTATTTTCAGGAGTTTTTACAGTGGTCATAAAAATTCAATCCAGGCTCAAACTTGGCATCCTAGGGCTCCTCCCAGGAGTCACTTCTTTTTGTTGTATTTGAAAGAGGAAACCATTTATCTGTTTTTACATTGTGAGAGAGCAA